ATAGCACACTAGTTTTAATACCAAAAGAGTAGTGGAACTATATGGTATATATTATAATAACATTGCTATAAATAAGATATATAATCGAAGTTTTTTCTCTTTTTAATCTTGAATTTTTTTTTGTGTATTTACAAACTGTATGTATGGTTTAACTTCTCATGAAAAGTAAAAAGTTACAAAATTAATTCAAAAATGTTATTTAATTATTTTTTTTAAACAATTATTGTAAATTTTTGTTTTGCATATAGTATTCAACGATGTTTGTTGTTGTATTAGACTCCTTTTTAATAAAGCGATATTATGTGGGTCCGAAAAATTGGTTATGTTCTTTATGGAAAATACCGATGTCGTTACGTCTACGTCGAAAAGATTGGTTATATGCTCAAAAAGTATTAAACTTTTTGAAATTAGAGTCATAAGTTTTAATATCAGAGCATTCAATGCATAACAAAATTAGATTCCAATTTCTGCACACTCTAGTTCCTAAAAATTCTAAGTTATGAGTATTCATTGCACTCATATGCTTTAAATGCAAATGCCTTTATATCTAACAAATAATTTATTTGATATTGTTACTGATAATAAAACTCATACATTAATCAAAGTAAATACTTTTTATTTGGATTGACTTTACTTTGAGTTGCGCCATACATAATTCAGTTTAAAAATCGAATAAATCCGATAGTCCATGATATTTATGTATATAATTATATATATATATATAAAATATGTTTTTAATATACATATATATTTGTCTTTAACATAGTTTTGTAATATCTTCAAAACTTGTAAAAAAAATTTAATATTTATAATATTGAAAACTTTAAAAACTTTTTACATACATCCGTATTTTTGAGATATTTCCAAATTTTGAGATTTCAGTTTCAAGTTATATTTTTAAGCATTCACATTACATAAAATATAAAATATTTAGATTCTTGAAAAAATTTATTCTACTTACCATTGTAAATATTTTTCTGTTTTAAGGATTCAATACTTGGTCGATGTTTCCATAAATTCGTCAGACGTAACCACGCATTAAATCGGGAAGGTTGTACACTTGTATTTAGATTGCTAACGTTCTTACGTACACTCGCTGATTTTTTTCGCTTCTCTACTTGTTTCACTTCTGTTAACTCATCAACTCGTTTCTTTAAATCTTGAATTTGTGTTTCCAAACACTTTGTATAATCCTTTTGTTCCTGAAAATCCTTTTCTAACTGTGAAAACCGTTTCTCTAAATCTTGCAGATTTTTTATTCCAGTATTTGTATGACTGGTGTTTTTGTGATTCGATGAAGAGGAAGAGGATGAAGTTGACATACCAACACTCCCGTTACTATTAAAATTCACAATAGTTACTTCGTCCACAAGACGACTGAGATCGCGAGTACTTGAACTCTTGAGTAAGGTTAATTTATTTGGACTTGAACGTAACTCTTTGAGAAAAACAACAGCTTCCGGTCGACCACTACCGCTACTGCTGCCAGTACCGCTTTGTTCATAAATACGTTGCTGTGGCTGGCGTTGATTTTGATTATAATAATTGGGGCGCGTGTAACTCGGCGTTCGATCCCGAAAACAATTCATAATCGTTTTATTGCGTTTCTCATTGGCGGCGTTGCCTGCAGCACTGAGCAAAATGTGCGGAGTACTTGGTGGACTTGGGCTACTAACCGATTGCATTGTTATGTATAAAATTTATTAGACTCTTTTCGCTTTATCAATTTTCACTTGTTTGTTTTACTCAATAACACAATAATACAATTTTTATTATTCATTAAATAATGTTTTCATTTCATATTATTATTTTTTTTTTTTTTTTTGTTGCAAAAACTACACTGTACATGTGGGATTTGCACTTCTTGCGGTTTCAAGTATTGCGGCGTAATTCCTCTTTCGTACTCAACTAACGACTTATACGATAATATCGTTTAAGCATATCATATAGTTAACTGTATGTGTGTAAGTATTAAATTCCACACTACGGATACGTATTTTTATTCTTTAAAAAATTATTTAAAAAAAATAGAATAAAGAAAAATAATGCAATTTTTAATTATTCTTCACAATTCTACGGTGTGCTCAGACGTCAACAGTTCGACCAAATAATTTCATGTATTTGCTACGGCCGATAAAGCATGACGTGCTCTGGCCGTTGTGGAGCTCTCGACTACTCAAATTTCGTTCGTTTTAGTTGTACGTTTTTTTAATGGGCATATCTCAAGTATGAATTATCAAATTCTATACGCTACATCCAATTAACAGGTTTTTTGTGTTCTTAAGATAAAATTAATTATAATCACACAAATATTATCTTAAGTGAGTTCTTCGAATGACGCATATCTTTAGATACATTTCAAGTCTATATTGTGTGTTAAGAAAGTACTTGCAATTTAAATAAGTATTTTTTAAAATGTATCTATATTTATTTTATATAAATTTCAATTATTAGAACTTGCCTTAATCTCTTACTATTTTATTATTTATTTCCGATATTTTATATCCTAATTTTATAGCGTTTTTATAAAATTTGAACTTATGATATCGTTAATACTTTTATTGTGCCCGTTTTAAGTTACTATATTCCTCAATTTTAAAACTCGAATGTCTTATAATTTTGTTTCAAAACTATTAAATATACCTACCATATCATTATAGGTCACTATTTCAAAATACCATAACTAAAATTCTTTTAATATCGGGTAGCGAAAATGTTACAATTAATATTACATTAACTGCAGTAATACACCTTCCCGATCGAAACGTTTTTCGTATTACACTGTAGTACAAAAATTCTGGCTTTTTAGACCTTTATCTGCTACATTTCCATCATATAAGCATTCACATCGATTCTTTATAGTTTCGATTTATTTGCTTCGATCTTTTCTCACTTATAAATGATTATCAATTCCATAGTCCCGATTTAACAGCATAGTAGATATATCAATAAACATAGTTGTAAAATTAGTGACAACCCAGAAGTTACTGCCAAAAAGTGTCTGCATGATGCGGTGTTTGGTCTGCAGATGTGGTAGATCGGTACTTATTTGAAAATCACGAATGTGTGACATAAATTGTTAGTTCGCCTTAATAAAATATGTATAACTTACATTGTGACCGAAAAGTTTTCGGAAATTCTCATTTAAAATTCGCGCGCTGTATATTTTTCGATATTTTAAGTTTATGTAGTTTGGCAGCACTGTCCTTAATTACTATGCCAAAAATGAGCGCGATCTGTCAGACAGTTCGTTTACGGCAGCTGTTGAAACCAGTTCACCTCAGTAGTGCGTTGCGAAAAAAACAATGGAAAAAAATATTGAACAAAGAGTTTGCATCAAATTTTGTTTTTCGAACGAAATTTCGTGTGCAGAATCGTTGCGAATGCTACAAAAGGCTTATGGGGAATCAGTTTTATCGAAAACTCAAGTTTATGAGTGGTACAAAGCCTTTCAGGACTGTCGTACGACCGTCGAAGACATGCCGCGTTCTGGACGACCTTCGACCTCTACCACCGACGAAAACATTGAAAAGGCAAAGGAAATCGTGTTCAAAAATCCTCATGTGAGTGTTAGAGAGATAGCACGAGAGCTAGGCATCGGTCGTGAGATGGCTCGTTTGATTTTGGTGGACAATTTGTGTATGCGACGTGTCAACGCCCGGCTTGTTCCGATTCACCTCAATTTGTTCAACATTATCAACGATTTTAAGGCCAAACATTCAATAAATACCATCGAACAGCCACCGTATTCACCTGATCTTGCACCGTGTGACTTTTTCCTGTTTCCCAACCTCAAATTACCACTCAGAGGAACGCGTTTTGAATCCATAGAAGACGTAAAACAGAATTCGCAGAGGGAACTCAAAGCCATACCGGAAAGCGCCTATAAAAATGTTGTTGATTGGAAGAAACGTTGGCATTTGTGTATCGCTTCTAATGGAGCATATTTTGAAGGAGATAAAATAAATATTGATGAAGATTAAGAATTTTGCGTTTTATTTAAAATTTCCCGAAAACTTTTCGGTCACAATGTACATTATACATTATTCATTTTCCTATGAGATTCATCTGAGACACGTTTCATGACTGACTGCACGGTAGTATATCTTTAGTTTATTAGTATATACTCGTCTTTCTTCAAAAAATTTGCAAAATTATTTTTGGTGTACTAACGGAATATTCTCTTTACGTGATACATAAAATAGATAGACTAGACTGAAAACAAGGAAAACTATAGAACATGTAAACTGTACTGTGCATTGACTTTATTAAAGACGCGTATCAAACATTTTTGTATAATTTATGGGATCACCCTTGACAACTAGAGAATTTGCCTACAAGATGAATCTACAGCCCTCAGTATGACTTGAACTCTATTACCATGGTTTAAGCTTGGTATTACTCAAGTCACGTCAAGACAAAGGTAACATTTAATTTAATATGATTTGGCTTATCGTAGTTTATTTTAAAATTAATGTGCTTTTTATTAAATGAAGAAATAGTTGATAAATTATTATCTAAACTTATAAAATATTTCAGTAAGCATAACAATGAAATCTTTTTTGAATCATTGTTTTTTTAAGTATTAGTCATTTACTCCTATCCTTTTGAATTTCAATAGATTGCGTTTTTTGTCATACTACAACGATAGTTACGAGTCATACTTCAACGATAGTTTTTTAATACGCTTAAAACCCAAACATAAATGTTCTATTTTTAACATACAATAGATTCAAACATATCCAACTCAAGAGCAAAGCGAACACTTAATGTTCGCATAATGAACACTTACCATAGTGTTCGTATAGTAATCGGTACATTAAATAATATCTAATATTTGTGATTATCTTTGTAAATAGTTTTCTTAGTTAATTACTACTTTGATATATTTTTGTCAAAATAGCGGCCCCTAGTTGTCATCATGATTGTCATTAAAAACAGAATTCCGTTAATATGTTAAAAAATGAAATAGATATGCAAAATGAGACAATTTTATTGTGGGAAAAACTTTTGCTTATTTATTTATATATATGTGCTTACATGTGTTCGGTTATTGAATTGTTAAAGAACATAATAATGAAAAATGTTGTCCCATACTTTATGTTTACTATAAACAGAAACATTGGTTGAATTCGTGCTAAAACGAGCTGTAAACTGCTAGCATTAAAGAATAAGTTTGAGGTGAAGACAGTTCTATATCTTGTTTATATAAAATATTTTAAATTTATAATTATGTGTATCTTATAAAGTGTTAAAATACAAAACACAAAAAATGTATAGAGAATAAAAATAAAAAACTTCGTGGCCCATAGATTTTCAATATGAATTAAATTAAAATTAAAAATCAAATATCAGATTGAGCTAACATAATAACGGGATTATATTGTATACTAAGTAGATATATACTATACTATTGATTTATAATTCTTGATTATAACAATCACTGTCTTTAACAATCACGTCAGATAACATCATAACCTTCAGAGAATTACCATTTTTGCCCATATCACCTAAACTGGTTTTTTGGCTTCATAGTTTATATCGTGCGTCTTCTTTATGTCATTTTAAAATAGATTTTACATTACTGTACTTAATATCAAAATATACGAAAAAACCAAAATCGTTTCTATTATGAAAGACAGGATTATGTTATAACACTTCTAACAGTTAAAATGAAAATATATTGATACAGTGTTCTAATTTCTTAGAATTTGCAAAGTACCTTGACGAATATAAGCCAAAAAGTGTAGATGTGTCATATTCTAAATCTAAAGAGAGAAATGATTTGAATTCATCCATTATGATCCATTTAGTCCATTTATGCAAGCAGTTACTCTTCAACTTAGCTGAAACATATTAACAACTAATAGCAAAAGTGAAGTTGCGATATAAATTGTAAATTTAAATCCACCTAAAAATTTAATACTTCTGATGTCATAGAAATAATTTTTAGTTTAAGTAATAATGGGTTAGGTATTTTCAATCTTCTTGCCTTGTCTAAGATGAAGGATGGACAAACAATTCCGTACTTATTCCGTAGTATTAAATTAAATATAAATAATAAGCTAAATTTGTGGTTATTACATTAAAATAAAAATGACTGAATTTTAAAAATAATTTTTAAACTTAAATGAAAAAAATGAAATCAATTGTTTATATAAATTGAATCGATATCAATTATTTATCAATATTTGATTTTTTTTTGACAGACTTGAATTTTTTTTTTATTTTTATATACTTTATATTAAAACAAACTAAACACATATTCTGCTTTTAAATTTAATTTCAAACTATATAGACCGAACTGAATTGAAATATTTGTATTTAAAAAAAATCTACTTTTGTTTAAATTAAAGATAAAAATATATGTTTTGTTAATCAAAATATATTGTGCTCCTAATTCATATAGAGTACTTCTCCAAGTGCAATCTTCTTTATAAATTTTAATATTGAATCTACATTACATAGTTTTATTTCTTTATTAGATACGATAAAGGTACTTTTTTATGTATCTTCATTGGCTCATCTTATGTACCTTCATCGGTACTACTTAAGTACCTTCATTGATTCTTCTTACGTACCTTTATCGGTACTACTTAAGTACCTTCATTGGTTCTTCTTACGTACCTTTATCGGTGCTTCTTACATACCTTTATCGATACTTCTTACGTCCCTTCATAGGTTCTTCTTACGTGACTTTATCAGAATTTTCTACGTACCTTCTTCGGTAAACTCTAGCATGTATTTTGAGGTCTCATTCTCTTCTCTACAAAACCTACAAGTCCACTAGAATAAGTTTCCAATCTTATAAGATAATATTTTAACTTACTCAGCTCTGTCAAATTTCCTGTAATGATTCTTCAGATATAATTCAGAATAATTTTTCTTAGTTACATACAAACCCTAAATCTTTTATGGATAAATGTTCTTATATGCGAATTCGATTCTGTTTATATTAATATAATAAAAAAAAAAAAAAAACAAATTACTTAATTACTTCTTATATTATTTTAATATATTAAAATAATTTAAAAATAAATGATTGGGCATAATATTTATAAAATCATGATTATGTTACAAAATGGGTGCAAATCGATTCATGTCAATCTACAAATATTAATATAAAAATATAAAACAAACTTTATCAAATGCATGAATATTAGTTTTAATTTAAATATATATATATATATATATATATTTTTAGTAATTATTGTTTTTTTTTAATTTTATTTTGGTGTTCCAATTTCTGATAAGATACCAATTTTTATAAATTGGGACACTTTATCAGTGAGTAGTCATATACCCAAATTCACTACTTATTATCAAAGAATAACATCGAATTTGTTGTGTTCACTGTACCCTATCGTAAAAAATTTGACTAGTTTTAAATGACCGAATACAAATAAATATATAACCAAATTTTGAATCATCTTTTTATGTTATCTTATTAGAGTTCATGACAAGTCTCCATAAATAATAATAAATAATGCTAAGCATCAAGAAATAAAAAGCTACTTTACTTTATTTTTATAAGAATAGATAAATATAAAGAATTTGTTTGAAGAAGTTTAATTTCTACGCTTAAAATATTGTATTGATATGTAAATTTTTTAATAAGATTTCAATTTGTTGTTAGTATTTAAAGTAAATTTAAAAATTTAGAAAGCTGCTATCACAGAAAAAATACAACAATACCTAGATGTCTTAAATCGCGATATACCATAGTCTCTCTTAATAAAAACCATCTTAAAAATATTTAGACTAATCTAGCTATAAGACAAATTATTTTTTTTACTTAAATAAATAGGTAACAAACCCTCTTCTATTTAGCTTAAGATAAGTTTAATTTTGTTTTTAATTTTTGAGTCAAGATAAGTAAATAAGATAGTAGGTTTTTGAAAAAATTTAATTAATTAATTAAATATAATCATTAAACGAAATGGATTGTTATATTGTGTTTATATTATATTATATAGATTTTAAATAGAGCAATTAATCAATTAATAATTACGAGAAAACAATAAGCTTGTGCAATTTGTTGGTAAATATTTATAATATGTATTTATAATATTGAGTTATAAACTCAATGAAGATTGTTATTAGCCTAAAGACGGAAATTTTAACTACACATATTTCCCTATACAGGCTGCTCGGGGAGGTATGCAGATCTGAGTAATGTGCTTAGTCTGATGAAGTGATAAATAATAGTCAATTAAAAGATTTGAAAATACCTCTAGTTAAGAAGGAGTAAAAGTGCTCAAGTGCACTGGCTCAAATAGCTTCAACATAATATAATCAAAACTTTTAAGTAAGGTATTTTTAAATAGCAAATAGTTGTATTGTATTATTATTATTATGTTGAGGCTAGTTAAATCAGTGCACTTGAGCACTTTTACTCTCTAGTAACAGCGAGACTATTTCATAACCCTTCTCAACGCCTTGACTATAAATTCAATTAAAAAAACAAAAACAATTAAAACCCATATTTTAAAGGACTTAAGATGTAGTTTATTACTGACTGGACAGCAGAAGCTTTTTCAAAGAGAAAACATATCTTATCTTTTAGAGCATATCAATAACTGACTCCGGTCATTCTTGCAGATCTTCAAGTTATTAGTTCTGTTGTCTTACAAATTTATTTAAAAAACAATTAAAACCCATATTTTAAAAAACTTATCTATTAGAACATATAAATATCTGACTCCGGCCATTTATGCAAATAATTAAATCTCATTGCTAGAAAATTTAAAACAGATTGCATGGAAATAGACAGACAGAGATGAAAAAATGTATACATTTCATCGGTATTATTAATAAGACTACTTATAATTGATATCTTTACTAATTTTGTACTGTACTGCTATAAAAACTTTAACCCATGAGTCTTGAATATAGAACTATTGTCTCTGTAATTGAGTTAAATTGCTACTAAATTTTTACAACTAAATCTTTATGTAACATACCCTTATATCAATTTAAGGGGTTATCTCTACTTAAAATGCCAAAAACAAAATCGACGTATTTTTTCAGAAAAGGCCTTTAAATATATGTATAGTTGTAAAAATTTGTTCATGTATTATTATTTTAGTGAATTTTAACATTTTAAATTAAAAAAAAAATTGTTTTGTAAGCTGGTACAGCTGATTTTCGGGAGCTCCTATAAAACTAAGTCTTGTGATGTGCACGATATCAGATTATTTAAAATAAAAAACCAAACGGATTTCGTGAAATAATGTATAATCTAGTAATTAATCAAAGGAATAAGACAATAATATTTTTTGACAAAATGGTGGGGGTTTTAAAATAAATCGTTTTTCAACGATTTTTCTGGGCTTTAATTTCTTAAAAAAAAAGTTAATCGCAAAAAAATTTTACTCGATTAATTGCTAAAAAATATATTTAGATGTTTTAAGAAAAACGCGTTCATAGTTTCAAAAGTACTTTACATATTGTGCTGTATTGAACTTTCGAACGTTTTAGAAATATAAGTTTTTTAACTTTTGAAATTATATGAGTAAAAAAATTTAACTGCTATCATATATGCATAGTTAGGATTGTATGCTTATACCTATTAATTTATTTGAATAATATTAACAAATAAAAAACAAATTACAAATACAGTTTTTAGATTCGCACTACGTTGCTTTTTATTCAATTCTTACTTTAATTTTTGTTCAAAGATGATATTAGTTTTCTTTGTCTATATGTAACTTAAATTTAATTAACATATGTTTTAGTTTTATTTAGTAAAATATATGTTTGTTTTTATATGTATTAATTAATATTTATGTACTTTCATTCTTCTTAAACTTATGATCATTTTATATTTATGTGAAGCCATTTAATATATATTTTTATATATATATATATACTTTTTTAGATATCTTTCAAATATTTAAAAGTTTCTTATAATATTATAAACATTTTGAAAACATAAACAATTAAATTTTTTTATAATATTTATGTTAGTGTATAAAGTATGAATGTATATATATAAATATATTGCACTAAAAATATCTATGATATTTTATTTAAATTTACCACTTTGAGGTTTCAGTATATGTTTACTTTTTGTTTTTTTTTTATTTAATTTTTTTTAGACATAATTCTTATTTTTTAGTTACTTTAACAGGCTTTTCTTTTCATAACATTATCTCTCATTTAAATAATTAGTAAAGTTTTATTTTTTTTTAAATTTTTTATTAATTTACTTTTTTTTAAATTTTAGAATTAGCCTTTATTATCAATCAGTCCAAATAATTTATACTGATTTTAATGCTTGGTGAAAACTTGGTAATTGTTTCTAAACTTAAATTAAACTTTATCTGAAACCTTTATACGTTCTGAATTTGGTCAAAGTTAAAAACTAAACATGCATATACTAATAGATAATTTAAAATATATTTAATAATTAAAAAAAAATTTAAATAAAGTACAATTCTCTACTAGGTTTTGGCATCTTAAGCTTGAATAACAGAAACATTTTTAATGTTATTTTCATATATATATATATATTTTTTTTTTAATATTCACATTTATTGTTTGCAGAAAGGCAAATATTGCGTACATTATTACAGTCGCATTTTTGTACTACAAGTTAAAATTTAAATGAATTTAACGTTTATTGGCATTAAAAAAATTTTGAAAATTAATTAATAGCCAATGTAAGAGTGAAATCAAAATTTGCAGTTTTTATTTTTCTTATTAAGAAATTATATTATCATAAAATTTTATTATTTTAAAATAAGCTCGATAAATTAGAATCTCACCCAGTTTTCCAATAGTCTTATTTATTTTATATATGTATAAAAGAAAAATTAATATGAAAACTTAATTAATTAGAACCATTAAATAGTTGATATTAATTTCATGTTAAATAGATTTAAAGAAGACTTTGAACCGGAATTGAATTGTAAACCGCAAACTAAAACAGTAAAACTTTTAATGAACCAAACCAAAAACAATACTAGTTTATTTCAACAAAATAATGCGTATTATCCCTTAACAACTTCAATAAATTAAAAAACTTTCAAGAAAAGGTTTTATTTAATAATAAAATAAACTAATAAATCGTCTAAACTGATAAATGTCTTATAAACTTTATAAACGTATAAATTTATCTACTTCGTAAATGAAGTGTTAAATTTTGTATAAAAAATCGTTTACATAAACTTAATAAATTAACACGAAAATTTAATCGAATTAATTTATATCGCATAAATTTATGTATTTTTAATACAGAGTTGCATTCCAACACAAGCAAGTCATTTACAAATATATCTTTGTAAATACTTTTTAGTTTGCGGTTTTCGCTCAATTTCAGTATTTTATTTTATAATTTATTGCCACTGACACAGCTGAACAATAAAGTTTACACAAATATTTAAAATTGCAACGATATTGGCTAAAAAATTGCGTTGCTGAGCACTGACTTTTGTGCTATCATAATTATTGATGAAATAAATAGTGCTATTATACAGCAGATTGATAAATTTACACAAATATTTAACTGAGTGCGTTGATATAACCGTGTAAGTATATATTTGATAAAAGTATATGCTTAGATGAGTACCCCTAATGGTTTTTTATTGAATAGATTTATATGGTCAACCCATATGACTTCTATAAAAAATAAATTTTAGTTAAAAATTGTTTCATTAAGAAAACACTTGTTTCATTGCAAGAACACTAAAAGTCTTGCACGTAAAAAAAGGCAAACTTATTGCTCAATTTTAATGCTTTTATAGAATATCTACTTTTGCGTCGAAATATCAAAATTTATCAATTTTTTATTATAGCAACATTAATCGAATGCACTGTTTTCCATAAGTTGGAACGTGTCAACTGATAGTTTGCTGCAAAAATAATTCAGCCAGTAATCATGAAAAAAAATTTAACTATTTTATTATATTCGCTCGGAAGATTTAAAACCGAAAAAACCGCTATTTCGTTGGAGCGAAAACCAAAATCGAATTAATATATTTTTCTAATTAATTTGAAACGATAAAATTTCCGGTTCAAAGCCCTAGATTTAATTTATGTTTTTAAATAGTTTTTTTTTTAATTCTCATTAAATTTAACATAGTTTTTTTTATTTATTATATGATTACAAAGTAAATTGATTATTGAAATTATTATTGATATTGAAAATATCTTTACAGAAACAATTGAATTTGTATACATTCGGAAAGATATATAATGATCCATTAATCATAGCAATTAATATAATCATATAAGTTCTGTCAAATATTAAAAACAAAATTATTTAAATCTCTTTTTTTCCGCATATATACATACAAAATAAATATTTAGTTCACAAAAAATATATTCTTATTTGCATAAGAAGTGTTTGTTTGTTTCCATATAATATTAATTTTATATTATTTATTATTATTACTAAAGCACCCATTATTCGGTTACTTTTATAATTTTTTAGTGAACTTATGGATACATTAAGTATTTGCTTTAAATTCAATTTATTTTTGGAACTATCACTGGTCTTTTTACGTAATTTTACGTATACGTATTTATAAATAAACAATTACTAAGCTTTCACTTTATTTATAACTCTATTAAACTTAAAAATTGTATATCTATTAACGCATTAAAATACAAGTACTTTAGAATATATATATACAAACATATATATATATTTATATATATTAATATATATATATGAATGAGAAATACTTCCAATATGTACTGTATATATTAAACAAGCTGTAACACGATTGTTTTAACAATTTACATAAATTTTACCATTTTTCTTATAAACGTAACATTAAAATTAATATTTTTAAAAAGCTAACAAAATAAGATCAAAATAATGATGTATAATTTATACTATAAGTATTTAAAGATAGGATATATAATATATAATTATAATAATTTGTGTATATAGGCACTTTTCTTTAGAGTTCATTTTTCTTGTTTCATATTATTTTTACTCCTTTTTTTTAATTTTTATAATTTTTTCGTCTTTATTAATGCAAATTTTAAAATATGTTAAGTAAGGCTAACAAATTGCATTAGACATTTGTTTTGCAAATTTTAGTTAATGTATTTCTTTTACAATAAGACAAATGATATAGACAATAGATTTTGTCTATATATTGTGTTAAAAGAAAATGTAAGACTTGAAATTAAAGTTAATATAAAGTGTAATATTCACATAATTTCATTTGAAGAGTTAATTTAATCAATTTATAGATATTATAAACTAAATGGTTTTATTATTCTGTTCAATAGCAATTACAATTCTGTCTTCAAAAAACCTATTTGTTTTTAAATAAATATTTATTTTTGCTTTCATTAAAAAGGTACTTGAAGTGAATTAATTGGATTTTAAAGGATTATTAACTATAATAACAAAAAATTAAAATTTTAAAAGCATCTGAGAGCTTTGTTTTGGTCTTACACATTCAATTAAGATTATAATCGTTTTTTTTTAACATTTTTATACATGCATTATATTATATATTAATTCACTTTTAACGATATTATATATATTTATTTATATTTGTGTTATTATAATATTTTAACATATTTAAAAAATAATTATTTAAAAGTTACATTAAAAATTGTATAATAATTGCATAAATATAATAAATATATTTTTACTTTAACAAAAATATTATTTACTATTTATGCAAAAATATTGATTAAAATAAATTTTAACACCCTAAAAACCATATTAAACTATTTTAGAAGCTTTAGTTTTAAATATATATTAACTTAATAATAAATTTATTAAACAAGTTAAAATTTTTATTGACGTTTTATGTTGTATTTGGTGTATCAAGCTAATATATAACAATTATTTTATATAAACATTATTTATTACAATTATTTTTTGATTTGATTTTTTTTAGAAAGACATAAGGTAAATATTATTAAATTTGTTTAGGACTTAGCATATTCTCTTTGACATGTATTTATTCTAATGACTATTTCGCTCTTTTGCTAATTTAACTGTTTTTACGTCATTTTGTGTAAATCATATTATTATATTTTAATATTTTAGTTTGTTTTAATTTTCTGACTTTTTTCTTTCATTTTTTTATACGAGAAATGAGCATGTGCGCTATTTTTTAAACGCCTATGCCTATGCTCAAAATAATAGAATTTCAGTCAATTACTGCTTTAAATTATATTTTAATTTTATTATTAAAAATTATATATTTTGTTTTGATGCGATAGAAAAAAAAATATTTTAAATGTTTTTTGTAGACGTAAAAATTAATAGAAATGTATGTATAATTTAGCGAACAATATTGTTTTTATATGTTGACGAAGCTTTTTAGACCTCACAGCACGTTTTAAAACATCACGAAAAGATTATCAAAATTTAAAATTTCCATAAGTTTTATCATAATTAAGTCTTCTAGTAGTGAATCTGTAAAACAATATATATTATTTAGCGAAATCAAGTTAAAACCAAATTTTAACACTATCAAATAATTTTAGAGATAACATATTTTCAAAATAATTCTTTTCCCCCTTTTTATTGTTAAACTAATTTTTAATAAAATTAGTTCATTAGTATGTATAATATAAAAGGCAAGACAAAAAATAAAAAATTGAATCAAGAAAACAACTTAAAAATCAAAAAGTATATTAATGAGTGTAAATAATGTGTAGAAATGATTTTGGAGATTAGATTGTCTTTTCAGGATTAATTTTGGTAGAATAAATTTTGCTTCAGGCCACACTAGATGAATCTCGTAGCTTATAAGTTTGTATACATAAATTTCGCTTGCTTATTTACCTATGAAAAAAGCATGTGTTAAAAGAGAGAAAGAAGACGGAATTGGTTTAATCAATGTTTTTACCGCCTTAAAAGCATTGGAATAGTTTGATCCTATAAATAAATTAAATTGTGAGAAAAAAGATAAAAAAAGTTATAAAAAAGATTTGAATCTGGATAACTTGCCAAACACAATGCTACCAGGGATCAAGAAGAATATCGTTTTCAACTTGAAAATCTAATCCATTTGTAATGTATTCTTCCTTCAAATTGTTGTCTATGAATACATATTTATGTGTTTTATAAGTATAATTTGTTATTGAGCTCAATTATTGTTCTGAACAATAATACATACTGCATGTTAACTCAATTTTTTTTACATTTGTATGATTCTTAGAACTAATACAGTATCAACAACTAATAAAGTGTAACACCACTATTAGGAAATTCATTTAAGTGAAATCAAGTGTGCTCAAACACTAACAAAATTGTGTTACAACTTTTCAACATAATATCTAGTAAAATTTAGGCTAACAATATTTCGAGTTAAAATATCTTATTTAATCTAGTCAAGTACAGTGTCAAACCATTGATACTAGTAGTCTAAAATATTATTTATAAATAAGTAAATCAAACAAATATTTCTAAAGATTAATAATGTTGGGTATTTAACAATAATTCAAGCACCAGTAAAAAAATTCACATAATTAAATATAAAATTTTATTTTATTTTATTTATTACTGTGTAAACCTTCTATTTAAGAATAATTTCTTACGTCATATTTTACTTTAAAATAGATTTCATTTCGTTCGAAAAATGAAAGACCTTTGCACTATGGAATGAACACTTCATTTTTTACGATTTAAAATAAGTAACATTAATAAATATAAGTGGTTCCAGGAGCTGCCTGTTATACGTCCCGAAGTCACTAATTTGTACAGACAATCATAAAGAACATCAATTTTCTTGAGTTATAATAACGAGAATATAAAATAATATAATGAAGAGGGGTCTCTAATCAGTAGCTGCAAACCTAACGTTAATTTATATAATCATTACTAAACTAAAAAAGAATAAAAAAGAACGAGTGTGCAAAAAAATGTTTCGTTTTAGCAAAATATAAAATTAAATTTATAATTATATAGCTCTTAAACTTACTTGCAGAACATTTACCGCAGCCATTGTGCTTTACGTTTAATTTTAGTCCGCAAACTACGTAAAGGTTTCAATTTCTTCGGTGGTAATGACGTAGACAAATGATGTATATTGTGGTGATTGTGGTTGTTATTGTTGTTATTACTGAAGTATGACTGCGTATTGTAACCCTCATTAAAAATTAAATGGTGTTGAAGCTGCTGATTGTGATTGTTATTCTGGTGATGTGTTTGCAGTTGATTGGTGTTATAAGTATTAGTAGTAGCATTACTAATAAGCGCTATCTTTCCAACATGATGATGTTGTGGTGGAGATTTTTTAGCACTTTCCATGTATGAGGAAATATGTTCTTCATCCACTGTTGTTGATGATGGACGTTTTATTGGAGAGCAGGAGCTTGGGGAATCCATAACGGATGAAAGTGATAATGAGAGTAAAGCATCAACACCGTCACGATGACGTTGTTGATCCTCCAGTTCTTCAGGTGTTATATTGTGACTACAATAAAAGTATAATGTTTTATTATAACAGTTCAAATATAAATAAAAAAAAAACAAAAAAAAAACTTACTTTTCTTCGCTACTTTCATAGGCTGCATCAGACGAAGCACAATTACTTTGATTATCACATCCGTTTTGACGAACGGTATTTCCATTCATAACAGACTGTGTGTTACCATTAGTAAGCGGAGTTGAGGCACCGCTGCCACCAGCTGAATAAGTGTGATCTTCACTTGGTGATGACGTTATAACAGGAGCTCTAAAATATTACAAATTTTATATAATTGCACTTATAATTGCACTTAAAATAGATTTTATAAATTACCCATTTTGAAATGTTTCAGAAAAAACTTTTGGTCCATGTTTTAGAGCCAACATTGCAGTGGCAGCATTTACGTCATCGATACTATCTGCACCGCATTCACGTGCTAAGCGTTCAATATTTTCAAAGTTGCTAAATCCGCCTATTATTGAACTTCCGCCATTTTGTAAACTAGTTGTGTAATTGTAACTGTTCTTAGAATTTAAATTGGGATTATTGGTTGTACTGTAATCGGACGGAATATCATCATCGGGTACATCGGAAACAACATCATTTAAAACGTTATGCTCACTCATGTCTTTAAAAGCTTTAGATAGATTAGGAAATAGACGTGGATCAAAACGTGGATTTATGTGCGCATTTGAAGATTTCTCTTCAACAGGATCGTAGTCATTGGAGTTTGTATTATTTATACCAATACCACTGCTTGGACTTTTAAGTGCAATTTTATCAACAGCTGAATTCGGAAAGAAGGGAGAACGCGTTAATGCTTGTATTAGATTTTGACGTTGTTGCTGTTCTACACGCCAAAGAGAACCTTTACCCATATTCTAAATAAAAACATTTAATGTTATTAAAAATCAAATACTTTTTTCAAATATTATCATTAGAAAATATCTTACAGGTGCCTTTTCAACTTTAACAAAACTTTTGTTTAATGATAAATTGTGCCGTACACTATTCTTCCAACCTGTTGGTGCAGTTTTAAAATAAGGAAAATGTTGCACAATCCATGCATAAATTTCTTTGACTGGTAAAGCTTTTTCATTGGAACCTTCAATAGCCATAAATATTAAGGAACTAAAATTGGAATCTTTAAATTACATGTCCCACTTATCGCTAATTTCAATAAAATTACCTGAAACTATATGGCGGTTTGTTGTGTGTATGTACTTGAGGATCATATGGCACATTATTTGGATGCTTTTGCTTTTGAGGTGTAGTTGAATTATTGTTATGAGCTGTTGTCTTTGGCGTGCTGTGCTGTTGGCTATTGTTATGACTTTGTTGGGGTGTGCTTGTTGTAAGACGCGCTCCACTAGAAGCCGGAGAAGATGTACATATTTCAAAATCTTTAAGAGAATCATTATCATAACTAGAATAAGATGTGGGACTACGCATTGCTTGTTGCTGTTGCTGCTGCTGCTGCTGGTGATGTTGTGGAGTCACGAGAGTAAAGAAGTCTTTAGAATTTGGCGGTTCTGGCGAAGACATGGCTGAAGTACTGTAAATACAAAATAATATAATTAATTGAATAACGTTATTATCAATACAAATAATTTCTTACACAATGTGTTGAGCTGGATTCACTATTGTAAACGATGTAGCTTTGTTTGAAGTAAAAACATTGCTTTTGACACTAGCAACATCTATAAAAAAAAATACATAATATTATCAGTAAAACATTAATAAGATTTTAAATATTTATATAGAAATAAGAAACCTATATATTGTATACAAGTGTATATATTTTAACAAAAGTACCATTTACAAAGGGAAGTTAAATTATTACAATCTGAAATTGATTTCGATTGTTTTTATTAAAAATCATTGTCGTTAAAGTCGTATGGCTTTAGAGTCATACATAGTGATCAAATGACTCGAATGACTCAAATCCTTTTATTCTTTCTAAAGCACTTAAAAAGTTGATGACATAATCGTATTCTATTGCATTGTTCATAAATGCGACACCCATTATGCACACCGCGTATTAGAACCTAAAACTTGATATTATAAACCATTATTTTCGAGAGTTAGGATCATAAATATAAAAAGCCTGGGCAAAACATACAAATTCTCTAAATGTTAAATCTATATATATCTAAATATCTTTAAGCTTGTGTATATCACAAATACCACATTTGTTGAAGCTTTAGCATTCTCAAGGATAATGCATCAACACAGATTACAAAAAATGCTAATACTATCATAAAAAAAAAATTTAGGTAATTATTTTTATCTACCTGAAGATGCTGGCGATGATGCTGCTACCGAGTGAGACGATGAATTTGAGAAATGATTTCCCATTGCGGCAATACCAATATTGCCCAAAGAGAAGAAGGATTTTGATATTGGACTATTATCGCCATTAACAGCTGCAGTTGAGGAAGGAGTTGAGGACGCAGATGATGACATTGAGTTGTTCGACGATGCAGGTGAAGAAACAGTTATTGTTGAAATCCCACCATTTGCGGAGGGTAATCCTGTTCCAGTACTGCCACCACCACCACCGTGATCCAAAACGTTCATTTTCTCGCGTAAATATTTTTTGTGCGGGTGATGTGTAGTGCTTGTACTTGTTGTACCGTTACTATGTTGTTTCTGTCCTTGATAAACTGTGTTAGTGGTATTGTTACTATTAGCAACTATGTTACTATTAGCATTGGTTGCGGAGGTATTTGCTGTAAGAATGCTATTTGGAAGCGTTACAGTTTTGTTTGTTTGCAAAGAAGATGTAGCAGGACTGTGACTTGTATTGGAAGAAGTTGTTGTTGAATTAGACGAAGAAGGCACATAGTTATTAGAGTTGGTAGTGGTGTTGTTATTGTTGGTAATGCTTAAATTAGTTGCAGTTATTGTTGTGGCATTGTTTACAATATTATTTCCAACATTGTTGCTAAGCAGCTGTCGCTGAGCTGGCATAAAGCTTGCATTTGATTTATACTCCACTAGAGTTGTGGTGCCACTTGGTCCCACATGCACAGTTGTTGTAGCATCAATTGCTGGTATATTATTATAAAGACTTTGTTGCTCCCTCTTAATTGTAACAGCGTTTGGTGCTGCACCACTGATTGTTTCTTGTTGTGAAAGTGGCAAACATGTTAAACCGAAACGTTTGTTACTTGCAATAAATTGTTGTTGAAAATCGCTTACACTAAGTGTTGTTATTTGAGTTTCTGATAAATCATTTTGGTTATTTCCCGTTGATGTAGTGGTAGCAACTTGTTCTTCACTAGCAACATGCTGTGGTAATTCTTCAATAAGATCATGCGCGTTGCTGGCGTTAACAATGCAAATGTTACTACCTAAGGTTCGTTTATTATTAACGGAATTGCTTTGCTGTGCGCCTCCTATAATATTTGTTGCTGATGTTGCAACAATGCCTTTTATTAAATTTGTATCATTTAGCCAAGCAAGTGGACGTAGTTCTTCATCATTATCACCACTACTTGTTGTGATAATATGTTGCTGTTCTGTATGACTACCGCCTGTTAATTCCATTGGTTCAGTTGCAAGCAATACAATATTTCCAACATTATTGTTACTTACAACATTATTGTTGTTGCTTCTTGTATTGTTGCTATTATTTACGGTGGTTGTAGTGCCTTCAAAGGTGGTAAATTGTCCATTGCCATTTTGTTGCAAGAAAACATATTTCGAAGTTGTTGGCATATTGTTGCCGTTCTTAATAGTGCTGCTACTGTGATTATTATTCGTGCTTACAATTGTTGCTTTTGTTCCTGCTGCTGCTAATAAATTATTTATATTAGTATTTGTACGTAAACCATTTGTTGATATAGTTCTTTGCTGTTGATTGTTGTTGTTGTTATTGTTGTTAGCTAAGGTTGTAGCTGATGTCGATACTAATGGTGATTGTTGTATAAATAATGGTATTGTTGATAATACAACATTATTGTGGTTATTTTGATTTTGATTCGGATTGCTGCCAAAGGTTATTGGCGTTGTTGCTACTGCTGTTGCTGCTGCAATTGATGCTGTTGTCACACTTGGAAGAGAACGTAAATTGCTCAAATCATGAGTAGTCAAGATTTGTGTTGGGTTGTCAGGCGACATTCTGTAAGAAAAAAAAAAAAAAAATAACATGTATTAATTGTAAAAACTCAAGGTGTATGAAGTAGTATATCATATAAAGATATATGATTAAAAATTATTTTTATTTCTTCTGTTATCTTTGTCTTCCTCTCTCAGCATAAGGCCGACCGACCTCGTATGCGAAGAAACATAATTTGTATTAATTTATACTAATTATAAGTAATAAAGATTTTATAATTGTGATATGATTGCATTCATTCATGACCACTAAATTATCTTATCAATAAAATGCGGTAAAAACAAACATTTAAAAATTAGTATCAGGCTTTAGAAAACGTGTCTTTTAAAACAAAATATTACTTAATAAAAGAAACAATTTTTAACACTTTTTTATAACAAATTTACAGATCCAATAGACTTGATTTAATAAAAACCTAAAAAATGCAGTAAGTTAATCAATAAAAAATTAAAAACAAGTTATATATAACTTGGAAATTGATATAATAAAGCATTATAAATTATAGTTCAGACATTACATTAATTATGTGATTTAATATAATTCAAACTACTATACATTATAATAATTATTTGGTTTCAAGAATATCCGGGTAAACGTCCCGAAACCACTCCTCGAGTTCCGCGCTTAAGTGCTGTTCGCTGCTGTCAAAAGGGACTATTATAAAATCAATCTACGAAAACATAAAAGAATCAGTATGACCCACCGTTTAGTAGCACTAAATTATATGTTCATCATATTCTCTTATATTCCAAAAGCTAGTTTATTTGATATGATTATAAGTAACTAATATTCTACATACAAAACATAATATAAGCATACCAATAATAATATATTAGTATGTATATATATATAATATATATAAGGACATATAATTCTATCCTTGGTACTATATTCAACTAAAAACGATGTCGTGAAGTGTTTGTTATAAATGATACTAAATCTAAACTGCACTGTATCTAAAAACTGAAAATGAAATTTAAATATATTTACACTAATACTAATTATTATTGAATATATTACTTGATATTATGTATTATGTGATATAAATAATAAGCATATTAGTTGTCAACTAAAACGCACTTGATATAAAAGAAATAAAATATTCAAAGTTTTTAAGGAATTTATGTACCTCTGTGAATGATAAATTATTACCTGATAAGATAAACACGAAATAAAGAAAAAGTATTGTTACATTTTTAAAAACTTTATAAATACATAGAGAAAAAAAAACAAATAAAGCTAGTTTTAGCATTTTTAAAATAACAATAACCTCCACATACATATCCATATTAAAAATAAATTATTTATTAATATTTGTGATTGTTTTATGTAGTGATTTTGGTGGTGATAGATATTCATTCCTCTTCTGGTCAAGTAAGATATAAAAGTCCGTTTTTTGGTCAAATACCACAAGATAAGATTTACAAAAAAATTTTTAAAGACAACTTGCGCAGTTGATACAAAAGACTACCATTTAAGATATATCGGTCTCATTAGCTCATAACAGTGTCCTATTTAAGGCTGTTTGATTAACAACTTGGCTGTTGCTAGTGGGAAACCAATATGGGAGTATTGGTAGAGTGCCAGCTTTAGCAAGCCCGGACAAGCAGAGCAGTTGCTCGAGATATCTCTTTTTCTAGGTACCCACGTGAGTTAGACACTGACACGTCTTTCTAGCCCGTTAAGGATTAGGGTACAAAACACAAAAATTTAGTGAACTGCAAAACACTGCACAAAAAAATATTTTATAGTAGAACTATGAACAGAAGTTACTGTCTGGTAAAAGGAAAGGTTATTTTGAAAAAAAAAAAAATCGAAAAGTGAAGCAAAATATTTGGAACTAGGCAAATGGGAGACAGGTTCTAACTTCTGGAGACAAAATAATTGATTTTGTATAAAGTTTGCACATCACACAAATTATAAATGATTAAATAAAACAGTTTTGCGATTTATATATACATACATATAATTTTTTTTAATATTGTAGAAAATTATTGTTAAAATTTAATGCAATTTATTATACATTAATTTATTTTATTATATATTAATTTATTTTATTATATATAAATATATATATATATATTTTCAAAAATTATTTTATTTTCAGTAAATCGATTAAATATTAAATACATTTACAATTATTTTCTTAACGAAACTACATATATGTATTAATTACATTGAAACAAATTAAAAAGTTATTTAATTATATTTAATAATAATTTTTGAATAAACATAAAAATAATAATTTAATTATTATTTCAAACTTGCTTAATAACACTTTGACAACGAATTTCAATTTCAATAAATTTAACACAAAAATTATTGTGATAGTCCTCCTCTCTTACCTGGAGACTTGCAAAAACTATAAGTAAGTTAGCAATGCCAAACAAAATGATTTTTTAAAATTGTCAAAGCAACAGCAAAGTAGCGATGTGAAGGAATTTGTTCCTTTTCTCAGTTGTCATAGAAATTGATTTTGTCAACAATAGTTTTTGTTTTGTTTGTTAATTATATTGTTAGGAGAAAATAAAAAACAATACAGCAAAGACAATAACAGTGAGTGAAAGTAGTAATAACATTTTCGTTTCTATCTTTGTTTTTGATTTCGCACTCACGAACTTTAAAACAAAATAAAGAAAATACATACAACTATATTACGAAAAGTTTATAGAAAAGTTCTTTTCAACAGAGAGACAAAAAGGAAATAAAAAAAAAATTTTACGCAAGTGTGTTGTTGATATATAACTTTAAAAGCTCAGAATACCAATTAAGAGAAGCATATGAACATAATAGAGAGTAATTTAAAAGTTCACCATTTACTTTTGCATGTATAAAAATAAACAAATTTAACTAGCAACAAAATCTAAAAGCTTAACATGATATTGCATATATTGCCGTTGTATTAGCGACTGACAACAAACGAAAGAGAATTTTACTTTTAAACAAATAACACATAAAAAAATACGTTTTTACATTGCATATGTGTGTTTATACTCTTTAACGCCTTGAAATTGCATACACATTAATAAAGTAGTTTATTTTTGAAGGAAAATGCCAACACATGAATAAGCCATTTCTTTTGTGTATATGAGCGCGGTTAAAAAAATGTTAGTATGCATGCATTTGTTAAATGTTTGCTTTTAACGCATGCGGCCATTTTATATTTTATTTATTTTTCTTTTTATTCTTTTTTTTTCTTCTCATATCTATTGTTATTTACGTGAAAATTTGCCTCCTTGTTGTGTTGTCATTTTTACTGGGTTAAAGAATTTGTTGTGTGCTCTTCTTATTTATTTATTTTTTATTAAATTAACATGTGAACATTTGTGTTAGTGGTTTGTACGCTACGCTACGGTTTATTGTATAAGCAAAATTCAAACATGCGCTTCTATCTATGACAAAGGAAAAAAAACGTATATATATATGTATATATAACAAATTAGTGTGCGTATACTTTTATCATAATTGAATGTCATATATCACATGGTACTATGCAAAAAATCGGCATCCTTATTTCTTTGAAAGGAACTAAGCAATGTTGTTTTTTTGAATTATCTTTACATTAACATTTTTACAAATTATTTTGCATTATTATAATTTATATTATATTATATTATAATTATATGCATTATATATGCACGCTACTTTTTTAATTTCCATTTTAAGTTATCGTATTTCTTGTTATATTTTTAATTTTCACTTTAGGTTTAATTTTACAAATAATTATTATTAAAATAATATTACCAAGGCTACGACGTAATTGAAAAAAAAAATTATTTTAATATGGAATAGAAATTGACGTCTATTAGTAAATAAATATTCTTTAAGTATATATTTGATTTAAGTTTTATGAAAAAGTTAAATTTGTGATTTTTTTTTTAACTGAAATATAATAATCTAGTAAAAATATGTTGAAATTGATGAAATAGCTAATAAAGAACATTTAAAATTGTTATTTTTGTTTTTATTTTGCTCTAATTAAGATCGATTTTGTTGGATAATAAAACAAAAAAAATCCTAAACTGTTAATTATATAAATGATTATGAAGGAAAATAAAAAAAAATTGTTTTAATTTCACTTTTATAAATGCTAAGAACATGGAAAAACATTTTTCGATATATCATAAATAAAAATATGATGCATAATTGTGGCAAAGTTAGTATATACCATATTTGTTTAAGTATACTATTTTAAGGTTTGAGTAAGTAAATAAATAAATTATATATAAATAAATACATTTTTTTTTCAATTATAAAAATATTAGAGAATATTAGGGAGCTAATTAATTTATAAACTTTCATCTCTATATTTGTAAAAAATGGAAATAAATTACAGTATCAATTTTAAATTTAAACAATCAAATTCTACAAAAACTTCTGAACAAACATATGGACGATAACTGAATGTAGTGCACCATAATAATATAAAAAACAATGGTGCGTCTTTTAAATCAACTGTCATAGAATTGTCGGTCTATGGTCTATGTGTCTAGTAATGATAAGAATTAAAAGAATTTTAAAGAGTAAACAAATTAATATGATTATGAAATCAATCGTTTAATATATTAAGCTGCTTATCAATTTATATGTGATTATTAGCTTAACATAACATAAACATAAATTAATAATGACAAGATTTTTTTATTTGTTAAAACACGCATACTTTTTATTTAAGATTATAGAGGAAATGAAAATTTTTGTTTGACTTATACACGATGGTATTAATGGGATTCTAAATTAATTATACAAAATTTATTTATACATAATTTGTGTAATTATAAATTAAAATTATGCATTCAATTTTATTGGCATATATTTGGTATATATAAAAGAACATACTAAATTTTCATTTTGAATTAAACAGTTAACACGTGATTTTATAATATATATGTACATATATATGAATATATTTTTTTGTTATTCTTATATGCTAATGGGGGTGTTAAGCTATCATCAGTCAAAACGATTTTTTTTCACACAATCACACATTGCCACAAAATTTA